CCACACATCCAGCCACTGCCATCAAGTCCATGCTGACTCACAGTGACCCTCCAGGACAGACCAGAACTGCCCCCTTGGGCTTCCGAGACTGAGATCTTTACAGGAGCAGACAGCCTCACTTTTCTCCTTCGGGAAGGCTGGTGGGTTTGAACTGCTGAACAACTTGCGGTTATTCGCAGCCCAACAAGTCCCTTGGTATGCTCTGTGGCTACTTCATTTGGCAGCTAAATAAGTAAACAACAACAACTCACTGCCATCCAGTCAACAATAGGGTCGCTATGCGTCTGGCGGCCACAAGGCTTTAAATAAAAGAGGCCAAAAGACGACATGAATAGCGTCTCAAGAGATTATGCACAACGGAAACAATGGTCCGTAATGGCACGTCATTTCTGAGGTCAATGGTAACTCTCAAAGACGCAAAGCTACAGAGACTTGCAGAAGTTCAGGAGACGTTGGGGGCTGGGGTAACGGCATAGGTGGTGGACATAGGGAGCAGCATTTGAAAGGGAGTGAAAGGCAACAGGATAGAGCTGGCCAGAAAGAAAGGTCTATGGGGGCTTAGGGGTCTGGGAGTGGCACGGGAAGAAGGTTGGGCACCTGAGAGGAAAGGATGGAAGGGAAGAGGTGCCTGGCACTGGAGTCCTGCGATTCCACGTGGGCAGACAGGTCCACAGGTGGGTCAGGCCCCAACGTGCTCTCAGTGGATTCAGGGTAAGATAACTACCCCCCAAAACGTTCACTAGATAAAGTCAGTGAGAAAAGCAGCCAGGGGAGTCGTCAATTTGCTTACATGTTAAAGAGGCCCCAAGGTCTACGTTCCAGCATCACCAATAATTTTAAAAAGAGAACCTCAAAGGGTAACAAGATCCTTTGAGATAATGTAATTTGATTAGAAGTCATTTATTGCATGTATCTATAAAAAGAATCACAAATGGAATATAACAAATCATAACCTGCCAAGATGAAATTCTGAACTAATGGAGACGTAGATATTATGTCTGAAATAATGACATATACTGACAAAATGTCAACAAATATCGTTTCTAATGCAACTGTATATTTTAGGGACAAAGAATTTCAGAAATTGCAATTAAAAAAAAAAGACTGAAATAAGATTTGTGGAAGAAAATTTCCATACTTGCTTTTTCCTATATAATAGTCTCTGTCGCCTCCTAGTGGGAACCATGCAGAGTGACACACACTGTATATGGGTTATTTTATTACTTGTGTAAAGTTATAAAACAAACTAACACCCAGTAGAGCTCTCTTTTCCAGTACAAACACAAAAATAACTTGTTTGAAGATTTATTATTGTGCTATACAGATTTATGACACTCATTTCACATGATATGTTAAGTGAAAAGAAGTGTAATTTATACCAAATTCAACTAGAGAGGTTTAAATTCCAGCTATTTATAACAACTAACTTTGGTAAGATGTTACTTTATTAGTGTTTGAATAAAATCACGTTGTCATTTTATAAGTCAACAAAATCCCAAGCCTTCTGAGATTAAAATTTTACAGTTTAAATGTTTGATAAACTTGAGCCAAGTTATTAATCTACAACTTTAACAAGTGGATATTTCAGAGTAACACAGTTTTTTTAAGGCTTAAACTTCCTCTCCCATGAAGTAGCTACTTAATAATCATTTTTCTATGGAGGGAAATCCCTATGATCCAAGCAAAAGCATTCCTTTGATGAAGATTTAAACAAGATAAATAAAATGTAAAATAAATACATGTTACATGACTTTGCTTGGTTTCCTCCTTTGAAGAAATGACAGGAGCATTTTATGTTATTTGGATTTACATATATATAACTGGTCGACATCCTTGTGAAGAAATATAAACTTTTTGGAGCCATTACAGCAGGATCAATCTCTACAATTATTGTCCTCTGACAATCTTTAAATCTTAAACCAAAAATATCCCTAACATCTTCTTAAAACTAAGGACTAGTTTAGCTTAACTAGTAAAATATGCGTGCCATGAGCATTGTGCCCTTTTAAGAACTGTCTTGTGGGATCAATTTGACAACAGCAATTCCAAAGAGTGGATGGGAATGTTAGGAGGCAGGAGTGTCTATGAACAGGGGAGGAACCAGTCCATAGAGGCAGGGAGCAGGTGGTGGTGGAGTGGGGAGGGATTGGAATCACTGGCAGGGAGCTAGCTGTAATGCAGACATTAGTGAGTAAGAGCATTGTCTGCTACGTACAGTCCTGGCTACAACAAAAATTAAAATAAATTATAAAAATTGTTATTAGTAAATAAATATCCCCGATCACCGGCATGTATTCTTTCCACTACCAAAATTTCAAATTACCACCCTAATTTATTGGCCTATTTCTACACCAAGTCCCCATTTCTGGAGGAAATTTACCCAAGTATAGATGGAGAATGGTCAACGGCAAGAAACTTCGCTGCGGTGGTGAAAATTACGTGCCGCAGGCTGGGCGTGGAGGAAGCAGGGGGCTCCGAGAAGAGAATTACATCCAGTCCCTAGGAGCCCGCCTAGGATCCAGATGGGAAAACATGAAGCTTAAACGGAGTGACTCATGGAATAAAGGATTGTGTACAGGGGTGTAGTGTGTTAGTCCAGGTAGACTAGAGAAACAAATTCATAAGTGTGTAAGAAAGAGCTTTATATACAAGAGGAATTGAATATTGAGAAAACATCCCAACCCAGGCCAGATTAAGCCCATAAAATCAATATTAACCCATATGTCCGATACAAATCTATATATTCCTGTGAGACTCACGAAGCACATGCAATGACGCCAAATGCAGGAAGATCACAGGCCAGTGGGTGGAAAATCTTGTGGATCCAGTGGCAGTGTAAGCATCTCAGCACTGGCAGGGGTCTCCACGTGGCTTCTCTAGCTCCGAGGCTCTGACTGCCATCAGCCTGTCCTTGTGGCTTGTCAACAGGAATGTCTTGCAGGGACTGAGTGTGTGTCCCACCTCCAAAGAATTATTTATCTCCGTAGTGCCTCCAAATGAGGTCATCAAGCTGTGACCTGATTGACAGGCTAAACCCCACCCCTTCACTCTTAGTCCTCTCAAATTAACAACAGGTTATATAACTACCACTCACAGCAATAAACATTAAAATGGCAGCACAGCCTGGTTGAAGTGTCCTAGGGTTGAATGCAAATTCTTGGCCCGCACACAATCCTCTAACCTTCATTCCTGCCTAATAGAGTGGCAAAAATGGCATGCTGCCTCTCAGCCAAGGATCAACAACCAACAAATAAATAAGTTCCACAAGTGTGAATTACTCACATGCACAATACATCTCAAGAATGATGGCTGTGATGGTAAGGGAGAAAAGAGAATTATAAAATAATGAACACACATTTCCATCTATCAAAGTGAAGGATAGGCCTTTCTCCAAATGAACAGAAGCTGTTATCTCATTGTTTCATAGTTTAGGAAGTAGAAATGACTGTGTATTTCTAACTCCATGAATGTGGGCAGGTCTATGAAAGACAAGTACAAGTTCATCGTCTTTGAGGTACCACAAGCCACAGTTGGACGGTCTGGAGTTTTCTTACTGTTAATGAGATGTACTATTTCAGTGCTTCCAAAGTGGACGATACTGGTCCCTGAGGGTGCTGGCAGCAGATACCTATACTTCATCCTGGATTATAGGCTCGAGTGGAAACCTACATACAAGGTGGCACTGTGTGAATTGCTGATGCTACCATTCTCAGATGTCCATGTCCAAGTGTTCAAAGACTGGCTTTAGAAAACAACTGATAATAAAAGGTAATAACAGTGATGATTTTTTTTGCAAAGAGGTATTCAAATTACTTCTGAGCCAATTTATGGCAAAGCCTGTCAGAACCGAACCTCAAATATACAAATCTGCTGGGCGTGATTGAACTATGGAGTGATTTGATAAGCAAGCCCAATTCATTAAAAAAAAGTTACAATCATATAGTAAAACGTGTGGCGATGCTTCCTTGGTTCTCCAAATCGTACAAGCTTGCTGCCTTTGGCGGGTGAAGACTTAGCAATTCTCTACCGTTTGTTTCAATGGAGCATATTTGAGCTTTCCCTCTCTGACAGGCTCCAGCCACACAGGTTTTTAGTGAGTTTTCACTGAATCACATTCTCTGTCCAACACCTTTTTTTTGTTTCCCTCCATCTGATCCGTGTCTGGCTCAAAGCAGATGCTGAAGCAAAGATAAGTGCGTGAGTGATTATTCAAAGGAGTATGGAAATTAGTTGCGATCAAGTTATAGTTCACCGTAACCATCGTGTTCTGAGCTACCCAAAATGGAGCGGCAGGGATCATGTACTGAAAACCAGCTAAGTCAGTATCTGGACATACCAAGTAATTAAAACAACATCCAGGGGATGAGAGTGCGAACAGCCTTGCCATTCAGGCAACGAGCATAGAGATGCTAGTCAGAACATAGAGACATGGTCTTCCTTGCCTAGGTGCAGTGGCATGGAGTGCGGACATCATGACAAGACTTAAACCACAGTACTGATGTAGTTTATCCTCCCTCAAGACTTCCTTCCAGAGGAAATACGTTCAGGCTGAGACCATTTTTAATTTGCGGAAGGCTTACTGGACACAAGACATGCTCCCCTGACCTGTATCAAATAAAACTCTCCCTTCCAAAGACTTCGCTCTAGTAAAGATAAGACAGGGAGGGGACAGGGGGGGACGAAGGAAGAACACAGTGGTCCCACAAAGACAAGCTTTGCTGTTCAGCAGGAAAATATTTCCTTGGAGAGACATTTAAGGAGCTAGCAAGAAAGTTCTATGTAAGGCAACAATTTTGATGCAACGGGGTGCAAGCAGAGGGATACTCTTAAATGAAGCAGCTAGAAGGGCCGGGGGCGCTCAGGCACTCCCACCCAGGTGAGTGAGGGGTGAGCTCAGTCAGCAGTCGGGTTTGCCCCCACTCCTGTTTCCATACAACACACTTACACCACTTAGCATTTTGCTGGCTTTCAAAGCATGGTCTAGAAACAACACATTTGGAAGACTGGAAACTGGTTTGTGCATACTTTGAACGCCTTTCTTGTACTTCACCTAGGAAGAGAACACGGAACAAAAGGCCATCTTGGAGGGAAAGTCTGATTACACTTTTGCCTTGTTGCTATTATTTGTAACACATTGTAAATAACAGGTGGAATTCCCACTAGCCACTAGATGGTGCTCATTTCCTACTGAATATGGTGAGCACCGGGGGAGTTTGTTTCCTTTTTTCATTTCCAGAGGCAGAAACAGTTTGATAATCTTGTTTACATATTCAAAAAGATGGTGTCAACAGCATCATGTAATGTTATCAGAACTGCAGCTTGCCAAAAATAACGAGAAGAGTCTATTAATTTCTTAAAATACAGTATCTCAATTACGTATTGTGGGGATGTTAAGAGCTTTGGGGGGTTTTGTGGTGATTTTAAAACCTTTGGGTGGGGGTGGGGGGTCTATAAAAAGTGGGTTTTTTTCCTTAGCAACTGCTTTGGACATTTCAAGGGGACGTCACAAGTTTGTAGAGAAATCCCATCATCTTTCCATTTCACTTCTCTACCTTTTGTCGAAGCTCCGTTGTACTAGTAATCCTAATAAAATAATGATAACCAAAATATTGAGCAGCTACTACGTGTCAGACACGACTGCATGTCCTTTATACATATTAAGGCTTAATTCTCACAACAGCCTAGGAGCAGGCACATTAGGTACCTGCCAGGTGACCAATGAAGAAACTGTGGCAGGGAAAGGTGAATGTACTACTGTACTCAGTGGAAAAGAAAGATGTCAAATTCACGTCATCTGATTGTAAATTTCGAGCTCTCAGGACAATGTTCCAGGAACGTACATCTCTATTAGTGGAAAATACTGGACTCTTCCTTCTCTGACAGATCTCATCTCTATTTTGTCTACATTTTTTCAAAAAGTATATATATGTATGTATATATGTATATATGAAAACATTATGATATTTCTAGTGGTTGTAGAAGACAGAAATCCCCATTTCAATTCCTGGCAACAAGACAATAGCTGGCTTACTTAGCCCAAATAACAATGCCTTCTAAACACTAATTAAAGTGAAATACACTCGTTCCCAAGGACATGGCTGGAGTCAAGGGTTTAGATCATATAATAAAGTAATAATTCAATGATATTTCACAGCAAAGTGGTTTCTGTTTCTCTATCCATGTTTGTACTCTGACTGATTTTAATAAGGACTGAAGGTATTTTATTCCTTGTAAAATGAACTTGATATTAAAAGAAACTATATAAAGAAATATTTCACAGCATTTACATAAAGGATAAAAAATAAATTGTAATTCATTGCAAATATCACTTCAGAAAACCTTTCTGTGACAGACTACCATGTCACAGTACTGTACAATAAGCCCACTCTCAGGGGTATAATTTCTCATGAGCATAATTACATGTGTTAACAATTTTCCTAGCTACTAATTTACAATAATACACACTCCTTTTCTGCAGAACTCTATAATCTATATCTATTCTTGATCAGATATAATAATTTTATTAGCAATACTATTTCTACTTTTTTCCTCTTTTTTGGAAAATCCTTTTATTAGGGGCTCATACAACTCATCAAAATCTATACATACATCCATTGTGTCAAGCACATTGGTACATTTGTTGCCATCATCATTCTCAAAACATTTGCTTTCTATTTGCGCCCTTAGTGTCAGCTCCTCATTTTTCCCCTCCCTCCCCACACTCCCTCCCTCATGGACCTTTGATAATTTATAAATTATTATTATTTTGTCATGTTTCACACTGTCCCTTCACCCACTTTTCTGTTATTCGTCCCCCAGGGAAGGGGTTATATGTAGATCCTTGTAATCGGATCCCCCTTTCTACCCCACCCTCCCTCCACCCTCCCAATATCTCCACTCTCACCACTGATCCTGAGGGGTTCATCTGTCCTGGATTCCCTGTTTCTATTTCCTATCTGTACCAGTGTACAAGCCCTTGGTCTTGCTGGATTTGTAGGGTAGATTTGGGATCATGATAGTGGAAGTGTGGGGGGAGGAAGCATTAAAGAACTAGAGGAAAGTTGTGTGTTTCATCATTGATACACTGCACCCTGACTGGCTCGTCTCTTCCCTGTGGCCCTTCTGCAAGGGGATGTGCAATTGCCCACAGATGGGCCCTGGGTCCCCACTCCGCACTCCCCCTCATTCACAATGCTATGATTTTGGGGGGTCATTGATGCCTGATACCTGAACCCTTTGACGCCTTGTGTTCTCATAGGCTGGTGTGCCTCTTCCATGTGGACTTTGTTGCTTCTCAGCTAGATGGACGCTTGTTTATCTTCAAGCCTTTAAGACCCCAGACACTGTATCTTTTGACAGCCAGGCACCATCAGCTTTCTTCACCACATTTGCTTATGCACTCGCTTTGTCTTCAGCGATTGATTATGTTGGGAAGGTGAGTATCATGAAATGCCAGTTGCATAGAACAAAGTGTTCTTGCATTGAGGGAGTACTTGAGTGGAGGCCCAATGTCCATCAGCTACCTAAATACTAAACCTATAAATATATGCACAAATATCTATTTCCCTATCCTCATATATACATAGATTTACTATGCACATGCCTGTATTTAGACCTCTAATAAATGCCCTTTGTCTCCTAGTTCTTTCCTTGATTTCCTTTTACTTTCCTCTTGTCCCACTATCATGCTCAGCCTTCATGTGGGTTTCAGTAATTCCTCAAGGTTAAAATGCCCTTGATCAAGCCCCACCAGGCCTCCTACACACTCCTCGCCACCGATTTTGGATCACTTGTTGCTCCCTTGTCCCTGGGTTTGTTAACACCATTTCCTTTTCCCCACCTCCCCCTCTCATATGTCCCCCTGGAACCATCGGTCCCATTGTTTTCTCCTTCAGATTGTTGATCCTGCCTGTCTTATCAACATAGACCTGTGGATATAATAATATGCACAAAAACAAAACAGCAAAACCAAACAA